AGAACGTCACTGGAGTCTAGAGCAAAGTTCGTCGTGAAAACTATCACAGAAAATTCTTGATCTTCACTGGAGTCTTTGGTCGATTGGTTGAGCAAGTCGTAGCCATTTCGACTTTCATTCTGGAAACGTTCGCAAGACGTGTTCAAACCAACTCAGCTGTGATTTTCAGTCTGCAGGAAATTCATTGGATATCGACTCCAAATTCTCTCGAGACGCATGAGACCAGTAATTTTTCTCATAATGCCCTTTTCAGCGGTTTATACCCAAGACAGCAGATTTTCAGTTACGTTCATATTTGAGTATGGGGATGAAAATTAACTTGAACACAGCTTAGTCCTCAAATTTAGTTTTGCCTCAGTCACAACGGCTTAAGATGGACCACGCAGAGCGTCATTGGACCATCTCAATAAGCCTGAAGATCTCTTCCTATCATTTTCCGTCACCAGTGGCTATGACCAAAGATACGTGAACTTCGCCACCTGTTGTATTGCACCTCACATTATCAGCAGAGTGCAGCGGGGAGGAAAAAGTGATAGTTTATTGGTTTTAGTCAGAATTGAAAATGCAATCCATAGTCAAATTAAAAGATTCAGAAGCTGTTTCTTCCTACAATTCTTGACCTTTGTCAATGCAGCTTTGAGCTCACTTCTTAGACTTCTTTAATAGTAGAAGCAACGTCTCAAAGTATTTTAAAAAAGCTCCGAGCGAATTATGGAGGGGCGTGGCAAATTCTTCCTCATCTTTCATTATAACTACGATCGATAAAAGTGAGGATTGCATAACGGAAGGAAGTACGGCGGTTGCACACTTCTCATTAGCTCAGGTTGACACACCAATTATGAATCATGCAATCGCTAAGGCAGTCATAATTGGCGCTGGCAGAGCTCGTCCTACATTTTAAGACTTTTTCGTGGCCAAAACACCCCTTTAGCGAACGTCTTAATGGGTAAGAAGAACGAAGAAAGATCCAGAAGGCGGTGACGATAAACAGAGAAAGGTATCGCTTTGCCTGGATGGCCAAAATCTGTGAAATTAAGAGCAAGAACGTTGTCAAAGATGTACTGTAGCGCTGGGTACAGTGGCTATGAGGTCGGCGGCTTCGAACTACTGCAGTACCGAGTTCCAGTCCGCTAAGGTACAATTTTCTTGTTTATCGCAAATCCACTTGAGCAAGGAATTAACTCAGCGTTGGTTCGGCGCAACCAGCCGAGAAACGGCTAACAAGTCGCTAGCTTGCGAACAACAGGGGCAGTACAACATTTTGGTATGGTCATGCCAAAATGGACGAAGTGTGCGCCATGCTGTTTGATGCGAGCACCTCTTGTTACCGTATTTTACTTTTATCCACCTTGTAGCTGGTTATCCAGTGTAATGGTCAACACAATGTTTAATCCTCATTTCGATATTGATTCCATTCGTGTCCTAATCTCTCCTTACTTGTTGATACAAGACATTCACATAGGTGTGCCAATTATTGACCCAATATTGAAGTCTGTACAACCCAATGACGATGAAATGATGCACTTTTAACAGAGTTTAGTAAAAGTCAAAAATGATAGTCAAGCCATGTCTGAATGGAAGTTTGTAGGTGACTTTTCATAATATATCAAAATTATGCCAGATGACGTCCTTCATGGACAACAATGACACTCTCCAGTTCAGTTCAATGAAAAATGAAGACTTCCACTTCTCCCTCTTACGATATTAAAAATGCCTCTCGAATAAGCAAACAAATCACGTTCCAGGAGGAGATACAGTATGGTGATTCGTACTCATTCGATCGCGGTGTTCAAGCTTTCGTGGAACACTGTTTATTATATGAAACCAACCTTTGGACAGAAATGATTATATTATTGGAAATAGAAGTCCAACAGCTTCAGTTCACTTTTTAATAAAATTTAATACCTCAGTCATTTCATGCCATCAACCATCAATCATTTCATTTTCAGTCAATATAGCAATCGACAGCGGGTTAAAATTGAGAACGCCAAGTGAAAGGAAAACGGAAAGCGATGAAGCTGGCAGCATCTTTTATTGGCAAACACTTCTGCTGATTAGAGTTATTATGATGACAATTACGATGACAGGTACTCATAACGACGATTATGATAATAATAATAATGAGCTGTCACGTCGTTTAGGGAGAATGACTTTCCTATAGAGCTTTGACAATGCCATTTGCAGAAAATCAATGCAGAGAAACCCAAGT